TAGCTCTCCCATGCAGCCACAGTGTTTTCATAGTCCCTTCATACAAGCCTTCCAAAGTCACAAGCATCCAGCCCCCTATAGCTTCTCCCCAGCAGACTTGGATGTCTCCACTCAGCTGGTTGCTGGGCACATGGACACAGGCTGGTGCAGCTGTAATGGATGTCCAAAATGGCGGCTACCCTCTATCCTCTTGTTACAGGATGCCAGTTGCAGGGTGGTCAGGGAGAGAGAAACAAACCTCCCCACCCCATTTTTCTCCTCTAATTTGGCAGGTACAATTTCCCCCACAGGGCTCCAGGCCAGATTCCCGCCAGGCTCTTCCCATAGCTTTATTGCCTGACCTAGCTGCCCAAGCCATTGATCTCACCTTACTCCAGAGCTGGTGCTGAGACTCTGCACTACTAGAGTCCTGAGCTGTGGGCATCCACAGCCTCCATATAGTCCACAGTGTCCTTTAATTTGTGTGGAGTTTCCTCTGCCATTTCTTCCCTGACTCTTCCCTGAGATTGTACTTGCTCCACTTTTTTTAAACCATCCTCTCCTAGACTAGAGCAGTAAGCTCCTTTCCTCTATTCCACCATCTTAATTCAATTCTCCCAGCTTATTTCTAAGGCTACAGTTTAAAAACTTGCCATGGGATCCCCAATCCCCTTAAGCTGGATGGTAAAAAATAGTTTAAGTGTTAAAATGATCATACGGATAGGATTAAGTGTTAAAGTGATCATATAAATTAGATTGTTCGGTAATAATAGATAGAACTAACGATGAATGAATGCTCCAACATGGGAAGCAGTTCATATAGCAGACTCATAGAATGACAATCACTTTAAGTAGCACTATGACCTCAGAATCAGCCCTTAAGGCATTATGGTCTTGCTGAAAACCAACTGAGGCATGGAAAGTCAGACCTTGTAGCAAAAAATGTCCTGCATGAAGGATCTCTGTATGTGAGACCCCAGTGGAAAGAAGGGACCATCAAAGAAGGATGTACTTTTCTCTGAAGAGAGGAGAGAATTCCCACTTTGCTTGTGGCCTTGTCTAATTATTGAGGGAGTTTGTTAATTCAAAGTGCTTCCAAAGACTGGGCAGCTCATGTCAAGAGTCTAAGGTGGGGGCTGGCACTGTGGCATAGTGGGTAAAGCTGCTGCCTGCAGTGCCAGTATCCCATATGGGTGCTGGTACAAGTCCTGGCTGCTCCACTTCTGATCCAGCTCTCTGCTATGGCTTGGGAAAGCAGTGGAAGATGACCCAAGTCCTTGGGCCCCTGCACCCACATGGGAGACGCAGATGAAGCTCCTGGCTCCTGGCTTCAGATTGCCGCAGCTCCAGCCATTGTGGCCATCTGAGGTGTGAGCCAGCAGATGAAAGACCTCTCCCACCTCTCAGTCCCCCTCTCTCCCCCTCTCTCCCCCTCTCCCCAATCTCATCCCCCTCTCTCCCCCTCTCTCCCCCTCTCCTCTATCCCCCTCTCTCCCCCTCGCTCCCCCTCCTCCCCCTCCTCTCCCCCTCCTCTCCCCCTCTCTCCCCCTCTCTCCCCCTCTCTCCCCTCTCTCTCCCCTCTCCTCTCCCTCCCATCTCGCCTCCCTCCCTTTCTCTTTCTCTCTCTGCTTCTCCCTCTCCTTCTCTCTGTGTGTAACTCTGACTTTCAAATGAATAAATAAACCTAAAAAAGTCTCAGGTGATTACTGATGTCATACATAAGAGTGTTAATTGTTAAATTAACAATAGGAGTCACTGTGCACTAACTTCCCATGCAGGACCTCTGTCCTCAAAGAATTGTATTATGAGAGTTAACAATAAAACTTTTTCTCAAAGATTTTTTTCATTTTAGTGCATTAAGTGGAGGATATTCTTATGTTTCATAAGTTTTAGTTATGCCTAAGTGTCAACTCCATTGCTTGTTTTCTTAGGTGCTTCTTTAATTAATAATAAAACCTGTTCTCAAAGACTTAAGTAAGTGGAGGATATTCTTATGTCTTGTAAGTTATATCTAAGTGCTCACCAAAGATGTATCATTCTTGGGTGCAAAAAATCTTTAAAGTTAATTACGTTTTCAAAAATTTGAGATGCAATACTTTGAACAGCCTTGTCTGAACTGTTGAGGAACAGTTCTTTTTTTTTTTTTTTTTCATACAAATTGTTGAACTCTTTACTTAGTATAGAGTTACTCTTCTGAGTATAAAGTTAATTGAAAATAGATCTTTGTAAAAAAATAATACTGGGAATAAGAGGGAGGAGGAATAGGGGTAGGAGTATGGGTGGGAGGGCTGGTTCAGTGGAAAGAATCACTATATTCCTAAAGTTATGAAATGCACGAAGCTTGTATTCCTTAAATAAAAGGTTTCTTTGAAAAATAAATAAATGTTCTACCTCTTTGCTATTGCAAAGATGGTCATTTTTACAACCTTTTGAGAAATATAGATAAAAAAATTATTACCTAGTACTAGCAACAAAAATAAATTTGTTTTATTTTTTTCTAACTTTCTGAGGCATTTCCATACTGTTTTCTCCCTAATGGTTGTACTAATTTGCATTCCTGCCAACAGTGTGTTAGGGTACACTTTTCTCCGCAACTCCTCCAGCACTTGTCATCCCTTGAATTTTGGGTAATAACTATTGTAACTACAGCAAGATGATAACTCATTGTGGTTTTTATTTGCATTTCATGATGGCTAGTGAACCTCTCTGTTCTCTTCCTATAACTTCTTTGAGCTGAAAGGAAGACTACTTTGACTGATTTTTCTAAACCTTTCCCTCTAATATTTCATTTCATTTTCTACTTCCTGACAGGTCTTTCAGAGTTATATTCCAAATATTTTCATTCAATACTGCCTAACTGCAAACAAAAATAAAACCCAATTCCATGCTTCACTCTGAGAATCATGATCTTTCCTGATTCCACTAAGGGAATCTAGGATGTACCAGACATCTACCATGACAAGGTAGATTTCACAGGCACCATCAAAGTATGCTTTTAAGGGTTTTTTAGACTGTATGTTATTTCCACCTTATCCTCTGATCCTCATTGCTATTAAATTACATTGCTAGAGCCAGTGGAAATATATAAGGTCCATGTTCCTCTTCTGTTACCACAGCCATCATGAACACATGCTCACTGTCACCCAAAGTCCTTCTGCTTTCACTGTCAGCTTCCACTTCATGGAAGGAGAAGAGAGCAGAAGCAGCAGTTCCTTAAAGATGAAAATGTTGAGGTGGGGGAATAGTTTGGGGGAATTTCAGATGCTCTTCTTACAGTTGAGTGAAACAACTTATCAACTTAAAAAAAAAAAAAAAAACCTTTAAAACACCCTAACTGTATAACAGTATGGCACAGCTGACAGTCACCTAAAAAAAAAAAAAAAAATCAGCCAAAGTGGACATTGGCCACACACTGAGTGGTTGCCAGCTCACAGCACACTTCCGTCCACAGTAGTGCAGCTGCTGCTGCCTCACTTCACCACTGCCATGTCTGTTTCCTCATCTGGTCTGTTTCAACAGTAGCATTACTTCTGACACCTGCCACTGCTTTTGTTGAGATACCCACGTTTCTGGTTGGTTTGTGCTTGTGAGTTCAGAAATTTTCCCACCCATTTATCTTGTAAGGAGGTACTGCACACCACAGGTTCTAAATCTAACGCAGTCTTCTGTGACTGTGAGCCAACCAGGAGCTCTCTCCTGCTGACCCTCCATGGTGGCACCTGGTTGCGCACTGGGGACAGCAGGCACGGCTCTCTGAGTTTTCAACCTAGTTCTTTTCCCATGTGCATTGCTGGCGCTTGCTCAGGCGCTAGCCCTTCCAGGTCTCCCTCAGGGTTTTCAAAGGTGTCCACTTTGTTCACTACACCTGCGTGACCTCCTATCTCAGCCCTTTCTGCCTCTATGGAAGGAGCTAGTTTTGTGATCGTTATGTTTCTGTTGGTTTTAGTAAAGCTGTTTATTTCTTTTAAACTTTATTTAATGAATATAAATTTCCGAAGTACAGTTTATGGATTACAATGGCTTTTTCCCCTCCATAACTTCCCTCCCACCCTCGACCCTCCACTCTCCCTCTCCCCTTCCATTCACATCAAGATTCAAGATTCATTTTCAATTATCTTTATATACAGAAGACCAATTTAGCATATATTAAGTAAAGATTTCAACAGTTTGCACCCACTCAGAAACACAAAGTGTAAAATACTGTTTCAGTACTAGTTATAGCATTAATTCACATTGTACAACACATTAAGGACAGAGATCCTACATGAGGAGTAAGTGCACAGTGACTCCTGTTGTTGACTTAACAATTGACACTCTTGTTTATGGTGTCAGTAATCACCCAAGGCTCTTGAAATGAGTTGCCAAGGCTATGGAAGCCTTTTGAGTTCGCCAACTCTGATCTTATTTAGACAAAGTGGAAGTTCTCTCCTCCCTTCAGAGCTATGAGTTTCAGTATTTCAAAATACACCAGTGAGTAGTAAATTGATTAATAATGATAGGGCTGACTCATTTCAGATCTTTTGTCTGTACCACATCAATAAAACATAGGGAAAAGAAATAGGAAAACCTGTGGACTACTCAAAGGGCTCATCTCTAGACTATCCATGGCACAGGACTCTTCCTCATCCCTATCGATCTAGCACTCAGCACGTGACGTCTAATATGTATACATACAGGGTGGGTGGATGCATAGATAGTTGGATGGCTAGATGAGCGCATGTATAAAAGTAGAAGTCTCAATCTACCCAACGTGTGATCTAAGATTAAAAATGCTCTCTGTGGCATCAGACCAGTCTGATGCGACAAGCCATTTGGTGATGGTAGGGACAAGTGTTGGCCAGCAGGGTCCTCCTTAGTCCCTGTAAAAAGTCCCTTCAATCCTATACATCAACAGCCTGTAAGTGGGGATCTCCATCTAACCCCTGCCTCACTGCTCAACACTTCCCTTCTCTAGGGCTGCAGCCTTCAGCCTGGGGAGCACCGTGATGCTTTCCTTAGGAGTTCTGGATGTTTCTCTGCAGGAGAGAAAGCTCCAGCTGGACTCGGCAGAAAAGCGAGCCAGAGTCGTCGGGGAGCTCGTACAGAGCGAGAGGAAATACGTGCAGACGCTGGGGACTGTGAGGGACGTTTACGTCACGCCGCTGAAAGCAGCTTTGTCGTCCAACAGAGCAATCCTGAGTGCTGCGAATGTGCAGATCATTTTCGCTGATATCCTGCGGGTGTTACATCTCAACAGGTAAACCCAGAATGCGGATTTTAAGAACTCTGCGTGTGCAGTGGGAGGAGCCCCTGCCTTACTGTCAGAAGTTGTGTAGAGGGGAGGGTGTTTGGTGCAGCAGTTGTCACCGCCTGAGTCGCCCACATCCCACATAGGAGTGCCTGGTGTGAGTCCTGGCTCCTCTGCTTCCAGTCCGTCTTCCGCATGGAAGATGCTCACCCTGGGAGGCAGAAGATGACCGCTCAGGTACTTGGGTCCCTGCCACTCACGTGGCAGACCCAGACAGAAATCTGCACTCCAGGTTTTGGCCTGGCCCAGCCCTGGGTGTTGCAGGCTTGTGGGGAGTGAACCAGCGGATGGACAATCCTCTCTCTGTCTCTGCTTCTCTCTCTGTGACTTTCAAATAAATAAATCATTTTAAAAATTAAAAATAAGGAAAGGGGTACGCAGTTCAGTTGCTTTCTGTGCTTACTAAGGACCTTGATCACTTCACAGAGAATAGAGGCTCCCCCAGCCTTTTACTCACTGGGCTGCCACCACCATGGATGGTTTCCTGGGGCCAGTGTCTACCGTGGTCATGACTATGGTGCAAGGAGGAGTTGGGAACTGGACACTCTGCGACAGTAGCCTGCTCACACAGGAGGCCACCAGCAGTAGAGTAATAGGGAGCTGTTCTTCACAGCTGTGTGTAGTCGAGCAATGGGAAACAAATAGAAGGACTGAATGGGATTAATCCTCTAGGACACTTTGCTTAGAGAGCCCAGGGCTGGGAGTCGGTCTAACCACAGTGTATGTTTTGAGTGTGGGATGGGAGTGAGAAAAGAGGATATTTCTGTCTGCAAAAAAGTAAGATGCACTGAGCGCGTGCTCCTCTGACCCAAACTCCCAAGGTACATAGAGCTAGTTCACCGGGCCCCAACCCTGCCAAGTGATGGGGGAGAGGCAGGTCTCTGGCAGTCTAAGGCTCAGGGGGGCTGAAAAGGGGGTCGCCTTAGATCCACGGGGAACTGGACCAGGAAGGGGTATTGAGCCATGGTGCTTAGCGCTGAAGCGAAGGGAGCACTTTCCTCTAAGAGCCGCCTTCAACTCTTTGCTGCCTGGGAATGTGACACTCTAGGGGCCGCCCTACTGAGGGCAGTGTCAGGGTCTGACTCAACGAATGAGGGTGAAGATGCAGCTTCCACCCCAGCCAGCCCACTCCCTCTCCCGGTACTTCCTCTCTTCCTGACAAACCTACTCTGCTCTGTGTTTAAAAGTAAAAAGGAGGGGGGTTCTGGGATCTAGTAAGTTAAGCTCCTGCCCGCAGTACTGGCATCCCATATGGATGCGGGTTCATGTCCTGGATGCTCTTCTATGGCCTGGGAAAGCAGTAGAAGATGGCCCAAGTCCTTGGGCCCCTGTACCCACGTGGGAGACCCAGAAGAAGTTCCTGGTTTCGGATTGGTCCAGCTCTGGCCATTGTGGCCATTTGGGGAGTGAACCAGCAAATGGAAGACTTCTCTCTCTGTCTCTCCTTCTCTGTAACTCTGCCTCTCAAATAAATCTATAAAAATACTTAAAAAAAAAAAGCCAACATGAAACTTGATTAAAAACTTTGCTGGAGGAGTGGGCCCTTGGTCTAGTGGTTAAGATGACAAAGGGATACAAATTGGGAAGGAGGAAGTCAAGCTATCCCTAATTGCAGATGGCATGATAGGGGACCCAAAAGACTCCACTAAGAGACTATGGGAACTCATAGAGTTTGGTAAAATAGGAGGATATAAAAATCACACAAAAGTCAGTAGCCTTTGTATACACAGACGATGCCATGGCTGAGAAAGAACTTCTAAGATCAATCTCATTCACAATAGCTACCAAAAAATAATGAAATAACTTGGAATAAATTTCACCAAGGACATCAATGATCTCTATGATAAGAATTACAAAACATTGAAGAAAGAAATAGAAGACACAAAAATGGGAAAATCTTCCGTGTTAATGGATTGGAGGAATGAATGTCATCAAATATCTATACTACCAAAAGCAATTTACAGTTTCAATGTGATCCCAATCAAAATGTCAAGGACATTCTTCTCAGATACAGAAAAAATGATGCTGAAATTCATATGGAAACACAGGAGATCCTGACTAGCTAAAGCAATCTTATACAACAAAAACAAGGCTGGAGGCATCACAATGCCCAACTGCAAGACATACTACAAGGTAATTATAATCAAAACAGCCTGGCACTGGCACAAAAACAGATGGACAGACCAATGAAATAGAATAGAAATGCCAGAAATCAATCCATGCATCTACAACCAACCAATATTTGACAAAGGAGCTAAACTCAATCTCTGGAGCAAGGATATTCTTTTCAAAAAATGGTGCTGGGCCGGCACTGTGGCATAGTGGGTAAAACTGCCACCTGTACTGCTGGCATCCCATGTGGGTGCCGGTTTGAGTCCCAGCTGATTCATTTCCAATCCAGCTCTCTGCTATTGCCTGGAAAAGCAGTAGAAGATGGTCCAAGTCCTTGAGCCCCTGCACCTGCATGGGAGATCCCGAAGAAGCTTCTGGCTCGGATCAGCGCAGCTCTGACTATTTTGACCATCTGCAGAGTGAACCAGTGGATGGGAGACCTCTCCCTCTGCCTCTCTGTAACTCTGCCTTTCAAATAAATAAATGTTTAAAAAAAAAAGTCTATAAAAAAATGGTGCTGGAAAACTTGATTTCCACATGCAGAAGTATGAAGCAAGATCCCTACCTTACACCTTACCCAAAAATCCACTCAAAATGGATTGAAGACCTAAATCTATGACACAATACCATTAAATTATTACAGAACATTGGGGAAACCCTGCAATACATTAGCATAGACAAAGAGTTCTTGGAAAAGACCCCAGGGGCATAGCCAAAATTGACAAATGGGATTACACCAAATTTAGAAGCCTCTACACTGCAAATGAAACACTTAAAGTGAAGAAGGAATCAGCAGAATGAAAGAAATTATTTGCAAACTATATAACTGATAAAGGATTAATAACCAGAATATTTAAAGAGATCAAGAAACTCCATGACAACAAAACAAAGAACTAAGTGAAGAAATGGGCAAAGGACTTAAACAGGCATTTTTCAAAAGAGGAAATCCAAATGGCCAACAGACACATGGGATAAATACAATGAAATCCTGTTTGCAACAAAATGGATAAAACTGGAAAACATTATACTTAGTGAAATAAGCCAGTCCCCAAAGGACAAAAACTATATTGTCTCCCTGATCTGTGATAACTAATGGAGCACCTAAAAGGTAATCTATAGAAGTGAAATTGACACTTTGAGATGCAATGACTTTGAACAACCCTGGTCTTGACTGTTGAAGAACAGTTTTTCCCCCATACTATTTGTTGAACTCTTTACTTACTATAGAGCTGATCGTATGTGTATAAAGCTAATTGAAAATGGACCTTAGTAGAAAGTGAGAATGGGAACAGGAGAGGGGGGAGGAAAAAGGGTGGGGAGTGTGGGTGAGTATGACGGGAAAAATCACCGTGTTCCTAGATGCAATGTTTGTATTCCTTAAATAAAAGGTTTCTGAGAAAAAAAATGGTATCTGAAAATGTAATAACATACGTCTCAAAACAAACACCCACGTTTCCACACGGAGGTGACTGGGGTCAGTGCTAGTGTTTGGCTCCTGACTTGGCTTCCTGCTGATGGGGTCCTAGGAGACAGCAGCGACGGCTAGGTCATTGAGCTCCTGCCAGTCACATGGGAGACCTGGATAGGTTCCTGGCTCCTGGCTTTGTGGGCATTTGGGGAGGAAACCAGAGGATAGTAGCTCTCTCTGTCTCTGTGTCAACTAAACTAAAAATAACAGAATTTTGCTGTAAAGGTCCAGGCTGAGAAAGGCTGCATTAACGACAATGGATTCAGGGCTGGCGCTGTGGTGCAGCGGGTTAATGCCCTGGCCTGAAGCGCCGGCATCCCATATGGGCGCCTGTTCGAGTCCCGGCTGCTCCACTTCCAATCCAGCGCTCTGCTGTGGCCTGGGAAAGGAGTGGAGGATGGCCCAAGTCCTTGGGCCCCTGTACCTGTGTGGGAGACCTGGAGGAAGCTCCTGGCTTCGGATCAGTGCAGCTCCAGCCATTGCGGCCAGTTGGGGAATGAACCAGCGGATGAAAGACCTTTCTCTCTGTCCCTCTGCCTCTCCTCTCTCTGTAACTCTGATTTTCAAATAAATAAATAAATCTTTTAAAAAAAAGACAATGGATTCATGGTTTAAATTTAATAGCTTATCACAGGCTAATGAAATCCTGGTGTTTTTTCTTACTGCAGGCAGTTTCTAGATGACCTGAGAGACAGACTGCAGGACTGGGGCCCTGCTCACTGTGTGGGGGAAATATTCCTGAAGTTTGGAAGTCAGTTGAACACATATACTAATTTCTTCAACAATTACCCTGTCATTCTGAAAACCATCGAGAAGGTAAGTGACCGACTTGGTGTCCTGTCATTTTGCTGGATCTTCTGAGCTTGCAGGGAAGTCTTGGGTGCAGTCCAAAGGGCTGGGGTTCATAGAACAGGCTGTTCCTCTGCTCTTAGCTTCCAGGCTTCCTCGCATATCCTGTGCGTTCTCCAGAACAGGGCGCTGACTCGGGGCGCGGCGCAGTGCACCGCAGTGCCAGGAGCCGGCTGTTGAGCAGAGCTGCTCCTCACGGCACGGGGCAGACTGCCACCTGCTCCCGATACCCTGGGGCTCAGTGCAGGAGTGTTCAGCCACTCAGCGTGGGCTGTGAGCTCTGGTTCCCGCTCTGCCCCTGCTGTCTAGTGTGACCTTGACCAGGTCAGCTCTCTGGACTGCTCCATTTCACAAAAGCTGCTGCATGAATTAGGCGATTTTACAGAACGGACTCTGAGAGCAAGAACTGGGGCAAAGTGCTACATGGAACACGAAACAAATTCCTGCCAAAATGTGTATAGCTATGGTCAATAATGGTGCCTGTCGCACCAGCAACAGTGTGTGTGTGTAAGTATTCAATACATGGTAGCTGTTAGTAGTACTGAAATCAGTGAATATTTGACTTTTAGAAGTGAGCACTCCTGACAGGCTTTAGGCGTGAGCCTACTGCACTGATGGGGTGGGAAGAACACATTTAAATTGATTTTTAAAATATTATTTATTTCTTTGAAAGGCAGAATGCTGGGGAGAGATGGAGGGAGTGGGGGGAGGGATCTACCATCCTCTGATTCACTCCCCAAATAGCTGCAATGCCCAGAGCTGGGCCAGGCTGAAGCCAGGAGCCAGGAACTCCATATGGGTCTCCCACGTGGGTGGCTGGGACCCCATCATCTCCTGTCTTCCTGGTAAATTACAAGGGAGCCAAATCAGAAGTGGATTAGACAGGACTAGAACCAGCACTCCAATGCAGGATGCCGGCGTCACAAGTGGCAGCTTAACCACTGTGCCACGGTGCCAGCCCCTTAAACAGATACCAAGTATAGTGCAGCAGCTTTATAATTTTACTACCGAAAACATGACCAACAGCAGTGTTAAAGGGAAATGCATTAATAGTTCTTACTATAACGAAATAACATTTATTATGTGATGGGCATTTCTGATAGGATTTGTTTCCTTATTGCAAGAGTTAGGGTTAATATCCATTTCACAGATGAGAAAGTTGAGGCACAGAGAAGTTAAGTAATGTGAGAAGGTCATGTACTCATTCTGTTCTCATGTAGGCCTACCTGGCTGCAAAGCCCGTTCTAATTGTGCGGATTAAGTTCAATGACTAGGCAAGTCTGCATGTTAGCATGACTAACCCGCTGTGGTTACTCTGTTAGGAAGACACCGGTAGCCTGAATAGTTCTTCGATTAGATGCAGAAGAGGCCCCTGGGCCTGCAGGGTTCTGTGGGTGCTGCCTGCTCAGCGCTTGCAGCTGGCTCGCACAACCGCGCTGTGCCCGTGTCGCCCCCACCCTTCAGTGCAGAGAAGTGACGCCAGCCTTCCGCGCGTTCCTGAGGAGGCACGATAAGACTGTGGCCACCCAGATGCTGAGGTGAGTGCAGCTGTCCCTCCTCCCGCCAGGGCCGGGCCATTCCTTGACAGAGAGAGAGAGAGAGAGAGAGAGAGAGAGAGAGAGAGAGAGAGAAAGTAAGTGAGCGAGCGAGCGAGCTAGTGAGCCAGCTTCCCTGTCGCACGCCTCCTGCAGCCTGCCGGAGCTGCTGCTGCACCCGGCCCAGAGATTTGAAGAATATCTCCACCTGCTCTACGCGCTGCGACTTCACACTCCTGCGGAACACGTGGACCGTGTGCACCTGACCGCCGCCATCGACCAACTCAGAAAATACCAGGGTTACATAGATCAGGTGGGTTGTGCTACCAAGCTGTGCCCTTGCCAAACGGCACAGCGCTGAGGGGGAAGGTGCTCTCGCTCTAGGTCCCGAGGTGCCTCATCTGCTTGTGATGGTCTTGACTTCAAACAAAGCCGTGCCTTTAAGGCTCAATCCAAAGTGATACTGAATGCTGAGGGTGTCTGTTCTAAGCCAAGCTACATGAGACAGCACGTTTTCAGGTAACTGTGCAAATACAGTGAGATCTTTATTAATATGATAGTTTGGAGAATTTGGTACTTAGATTGATTTTTCCCCCAAGTAACTGAAAGAGAAAACCAAAACATTAAAACCCTTTGTTTCCGAAAGTACATTTTTAAATACATTAATTCACCTTTCTCCCTTCGTGAGCACAGCAACCGTAATTATCCTCTGAAAGAATTTGGCATCGTGGAGCAGCGTGCTGTCATTCCGAAACTAGCAGCATTGTGGGACGCGTGCTCCGTGTGGGCTGCTCACAGCATGCCCTGAAGTTGCTTGCTTAGATACACTCTTGTCATTTGCCTGTGTTGTAAAACATCAAGTGCAGACAGTTGAGGGTTTTTATTGTAGTATAGGAAGATACCAAGCCCTGCATCAAGTGCCATAAAAGATTTTAACAGATTTCTTTTATGAATGGAAAATCTCATAATGTCAGTTTGCCTAAAATCACTTTGCTTTCTAGATGAAACGCAGCGTTCACCTGGAAGGCCAGCTGTCCGATATACAGAGAGCCATTTGGGGGTGCCCCGTATGTATCCTGTGTACTTGCTCCGTCTTGGGCTTAGGAATACCAGCCCTCACATGGGGGCTGCTGGTATCCCAAGCAGGGGCGGAACCCACTGCACTAGGCCCTTCCTTTCCTCGATACCTCCCTTCATTGCCTCCACCCTCAACTTTGTCTTCGGCGCTAGAAATGCATTTACCAATAAAATGATAATTTCATAAGTTTAACAAAGCTGACAGCTTCCAATGTTTCCACTGCTAATTCTGTGATCTTTCTAAAAAGGAAGTCTGTTTCATAAACAGAAACATATTGGCTTTTTTTAAAGATTTATTTATGTATTTGAAAGAGTTACACAGAGAGAGGAGAGGCAGAGAGAGAGGTCTTCCATCCGATGGTTCACTCCCCAGATGGCGCAACGGCTGGAGCTGCGCTGATCCAAAGCCAGGAGCCTCTTCCGAGTCTCCCACGTGGGTGCAGGGGCCCAAGGACCCGGGCCATTTTCTACTGCTTTCCCAGGCCATAGCAGAGATAGGTGGATAGGAAGTAGAGCAGCAGGGAATAGAACCGGTGCCCATATGGGATACCGGTGCTTCAGGCCAGGGTGTTAACCCACTGTGCCACAGCGCCAGCCCCCACATTTGCTTTTTCATAATAGAACTGAGTTCTAGCCAACTCTTGTATTTTCTGGTCTATAAATGATTCTGCAGAATTCAGATTTTCTTACTGAAAAAATTTGTCTATGCTTCTAATTTTGTTTTTGATTTTTTTCTAGACTATATCAGAAGCAAACAGGTATCTGATCAGGGTCCAAGATGTAGCCCAACTTCACCGCTATGATGAGGAAATAAGTTTCTCCTTAAGGTAAACAATGGTTAAATTTCCTAAGGCTATAAAATACCAAAAAGCAGGTCAGTTTACAATTTAAAAAAAAGGAGAGGAAGCAAGAAAAAGAAGAACAGAAGAAAGAGCGAGCCTGCCCCACTGTACATGGAGAATCTGGTTAAACTGAAGAGTTACACAGACACCTGTGAGACAAGGGAACTTGGCATCTTGTTGGCAGTCTAGGCAGGTGCTTGTTAGACATTGTCAGTGCCAGGATCACCAACTGCACAGAAGTAGGAACTCAGCAAGTGGGTCCCTTCCGGCTTAGACAAGAGCCAAGTGTTGTGGGATTTCACAGTGATGTGCTGGGCTGTAAGACAAAGAGGACCAGTTTATTATAATGACTTCACCATGTCCAGTGTGCACTGTGTTCAAAGCAGAGTAAGAACTGGCCCAGTGATCTCTGTAGAACTTTGCTGTATAGCACAAAAGCAGCTGATAAATAATATACAACAATACACTCTTGATCAACACAATGCAGAAATAAACACGTGTGGCTGTGTTCCAGTAAATTGTATTTACAAAGGCAGGTGCTAGGCAAACTACATTTTCTGTGTTAATGACAAAGATAATGACTCAACAAACAGTAGCCAAATGAAAAGGAATTAAGCCCTTTAATTTGTCCAGCTCCAATAAACGTAATGAAAATAAATGTGTTACTCCAATGGAGGTTACAGCAAATGTTTCCCAAAGACACAAGGCAGCAGACTCAGTGGAAGAAATTGGTGCCTTCACCTCTGTCTCCACCTAGACTTAATCTATCAGTTTTGTTTATATTTATTTATTTGAAAGGCAGGGTGACACAAGGGGTGGGGAGGAAAGAATATCTTCCATCCACTAGTTCACTTCCCAAGTAGCCACAATGGATGGAGCTGGGCCAGCCCAAAGCCAGGAGCCAGAAACTCCATCTTGGTCTCTCCTATGTGAGTGGCAGGGGCCCAAGCACTTGGACCATCTTTTGCTGCTTTCGTAGGCACTTTAGGAGGGAGCTGGATCAGGAGCTGAGTGGCTACAACTTGGACCTGTGCTCTGATATGGGATTCTGGTGTCTGCTGTTACAGGAAGGGGCTTACCCCACTGAACCACAGCTCTTGCCCCCAGAGTGAATTTTAAATGAGAGCAAAATCACACAGCTGTGCCAGTTTTCTCATTATCACAGCACTATTTTCTTTCTTTAAAAGATTTACTGTGGCTGATGCTTTGGTGCAGCAGGTAAAGCCTCTGTCTGTAGTGCTGGCATCCCATTTGGGTGCTGGTCCAAGTCCTGGCTGCTCCACTTCTGATCCAGCTCTCTGCTATGGCCTGGGAAAGCAGTAGAGGCTTGGGCCCCTGCACCTGTGTGGGAGGCCCGGAAGAAGCTCCTGGTTCCTGGCTTCAGATTGGTGCAGCTCAGGCCATTGCAGCCATCTTGGGGTGCCTCTCTATAACTTGGGGCCATTGCTATGACCTGCAGCACCGGCATCTCGTATGGATAGCAGTCTGAGTCCTGACTGCTCTGCTTCTGATCCAGCTCCCTGCTAATGTGCCTGGGAAAACAGCAAAAGATGGCCCTACTGCTTGGGCACCTGCACCCATGTGGGAGATCTGAATGAAGCTCCTAGCTTTCCCTGGACCTTGTGGCCATTTGGGGAGTGAACCAGCAGATAAAAAATTGATTTTTCTCTTTCAAATAAATATATATTTCAAAAAAAGGAATATGTCAAAGTAAAATAATCTAATAACCCAAACCTGGAAGAATCCCTAGCATGTGTTCTACCAGAGCAGTGTGTTCTAGTTCCTTCCATTGTTGCCTTTTTCTATTGCTGAGAACCAAAAACAACAAAACAGTGCTGTAGGTACCAACCTCGTGCACCCCTTGGCATCCCATGTTGTAGGGCCTACTCAGGTCCCGGCTACTCTGCTTCTGATCCAGCACCCTGGGAGGCAGAAGATGATGGCTCAAGTACTTGAGTTCCTGCCATCCACTTGGGAGACCCGGATGGGGTTCCTGGCTTCTGGCTGTACTCTCACCCAGCCCTAGCTGTTGCAGACATTTGGGGAGTGAACAGCAGATGGAAGGTGTCTCTGTGTGTGTGCCTGCCTGCCTTTCAAATAAGTAAATTTCTTTTTTTCTTAAGATTTATTTACTCACTTGAAAGAGTTACAGAGGAGAGGTGGGGTGGCGGTGGGGGGAAAGCAAGAGAGAGACTTTTATCCACTGGGTGCAGGGGCCCAAGCACTTGGGCCATCCCCTGCTGCTTTCCCAGGTGCATCAGCAGGGAGCTGGATGGGAAGTGGGGCAACTGGGACTTGAATTGTTGCCCATATGGGATGCCGGCATCGCAGGTGGTGACTTAACCTGTTATGCCACAACACCAGCCCTGACATATTCCTTCTTACCCACTATTTCTTCCTTTATGTAAGTCTAAGTTTCTGTATAATTTTACTCTTCTCTGCAGAATTTCTTCCAGCATTTCCTGCAACAAAGTCTACTAGCAATGAATCCCTTCAGTTTTTGATTGAGAAATAATTTTTAAGGTTTTTAAAAATTTATTTGAAAGAGTGAGAGATGGGGAAGTAAGGGGGCAGGAAGAGAGAGAATATTGAGATCTTTCATCTACTGGTTCTCTCTCCAAATGCCCACAAGAGCCAGGGCTGGGCCAGGCCAAGGCCAGGAGCCCAGCACTTGATCTGGGTTTGTCAGGTGGGTTGCAGGAACCTACCTGCTGCCTCTCAGGGTGCGCCTGAGCAGAAAGCTCAACTAGACAGCAGAGCTGGGACTCAAACCCGGGTGCTCCTGCAGGACGTGGGTGTCCCAAGACATGGTTTAACCACCATGCCAAATGCCCACCACTTCTGTGAGCTTCCACCCAGGTGCAGATGTCTGTGGTGTCGCTCAGCGTTCCCGGAGCTTCCTGGAACTGTGGTTTTGCTGTCAGTAACTTTGGGACTCTTCCCTTCACTGTTGCTCCAAACACATCTTCTCCTTTCTCCCTCTTCTTGTGCTGTTCTCTCTACGCATGCTGTTTCCCCATTGCTTATGCATTCGGGCTCTTTGTTCCTCTGGTTTTTGGTTTGGGAAGTTTCTCTTCACATCTGACAAATCTTCAGGCTTACCGATTCTTTGCTTGGTCGCATCCAGTCTCCTGATAAGCCCACCATCCCACCATCTCATGTATCACGTCTGTAATTTCTTTCTACCATTTTCTTTTATTTCTCAATTTGTTTATTTCTCAACATGTCTTGCATGTTGTCCACTTTATTAATATCTTCCTGGACTTCTAATTCCATACCTGTACTACATTCGAGTCTGATTTGATGTGTTTTGTCTCTTCCGTCTTTTTTTTTTTTGGTTTTTGGTTTTTGGTTTTTTTTTTTGCCTTTCAGTGCACTTTGAAAATTTTTGTTGAAAGCAAGAAATGGTCTTGCTTTCAGGTAAAAGGAGCTAATTGATATAAGCCTTTAGTATGAGATTTTGTTTGTCTAGGAGTTAGGCTAGTATTTATTGTTGTAGAATTCTGTCAGATGCTACAATTTTCTCTGGTATTCTTATTTTTTCTCTCCTACTCTGGGTTTCCTGAGAGACTCCTTCTTAAATAGGGTGTGAGCTTTGCAGTTCTTTTAGCTACAATCCTGTTATTTTAGGAGTCCAACTGATGTGGTAATAAGACGTGAGAAGCATTCTACCGTTTTATGCCTAGTTTTCATTCTTTCTAAATTTATTTGAGAAGCAGACAGACATAGAACCCTCCTCTGCTGGCTCACTCTCCAGATGCCCCCAGCAGCCAAAATGAAGCCCAGGTCTCCCGTGTGAGTGGTAGGAATCAGATTACTTGAGCCAGCACCACTGCTTGCCAAGTCTACCTTAGCAGGGAGGCAGCAGTCTGGAGCCAGAGCTCTCGGGTACTCTGATGTGGGACCTGGGTGTCTTAACCAACATCTTAATTGCTGGGCTAACTACTCACCTGATGGATCTATGTGGCCAGATGTGGACCGCAGGCATCTTAACCACTAGGCTCACATTTGCCCTGATTTTCATTCTTCTAATGAGCTGTTGCTCCTGGACTGGGACCTTTGTGATTATCAGATTATCAGTTCTTTTTTGTTTTTACCTCTAAGGAAGTGGGAGGGGAGTGGAATGCTAGGTATCCCCCACCCCAGTTGGTTAGGTTGTGGTAAAAACCCAGGTTGGTCTGCTTCTAGCAGAAGTGTCCCTTGCAAACTGGCCTTCGGTTAGGAGAACTGAACATATTTCTCAATCGTTAGTTTCTTTTCCTTGTGGGAACAAACGAGGGTATTTTCCCAGCTCTTCAGTGAGCACCAGGTGGGCTCCTGGAGGGGCGGCTTAGGGGCTGCTTAGTGTTTTATTTATATATATATATATATATATATATATACACACACACACACACACACATATATATATATAATTATTTTATTTAATGAACATAAATTTCCAAAGTACAGCTTATGAATTACAATAGCTTCCCCCCCACCCATAACTTCCCTCCCACCCACAACACTCTCCTCTCCCATTCCCTCTCCCCTTCCATTCACATCAAGATTAATTTTAAATTATCTTTGTATACAGAAGATCAATTTAGCATATATTAAGTAAAGATTTCCACAGTTTGCACCCACACAGAAACACAAAGTGTAAAATACTATTTGAGTACTAGTTATAGCATTAATTAAACACCTAAGAGTAATTGTGTATTAATTACAGAGTTCAACCAATAGTTTTTTGACAGGCACAGTGGGCAGTGAGAGAGAGAGACAGAGAGAAAGGTCTTCCTTTGCCATTGGTTCACCCTCCAATGGCCGCTGCGGCCGGCACGCTGCGGCCGGCGCACCACGCTGATCCGATGGCAGGAGCCAGGTGCTTCTCCTGGTCTCCCATGGGGTGCAGGGCCCAGCCACTTGGGCCATCCTCCACTGCACTCCCTGGCCACAGCAGAGGGCTGGCCTGGAAGAGGGGCAACCGGGACAGAATCCGGCGC